ATTAATTTGATTTGCTTACATTGAGAATATCTCAGTGAGAACTGTGATTTGTCTTGTCAGATAAACTTCTGAATCTAAATAAAGAAAATTATGATGGTAGGTGACACGGGCTGGCAGTGATAAGTTGAGCAATGTTACTTAAAGGAATGATGGTGAATAGGCAATGGCAAACATTTAAAGAGTGAATGGAGGAACTCCAACAATTGTGCATTCCTGTCCGGCATAAAAACAAAATGAGAAAGATGGCCTGGCCATGGCTAACAAGGGAAATTAGCAATAGTATCAGATTCAAGGAAGGGATGTTAAATAAAACAGCAAGCTCCAGGATTGGGGGCAGTTTATATTTCAGCAAAGGAGAAAAAAAAGATTGATTAAGAGGGATAAAGTAGAGTATGAGAGTAAGCTTGTGGAGAACATACAAACTGATTGTAAAAGCTTCTTTAGATATGCAAAGAGAAAAGAATTAGTGAAGGCAAAGGTGGGTCTCTAACTTAAGAAACAGGAGATGTTATAATGGGAAACGGAGAGATAGCAAACCAATTAAATATATATTTTGGTTCTGTCTTTACAAAGGAAGGCACAAAGAACATTCCAAAAATGTTGAGGAACACAGGGTCTAGGGCGAAGGAGGAACTGAAGGAAACCAGTATGACTAGGGAAAAGGTGTTTGAGAAATTGATGAGATTAAAGGCTAGTAAATCCCCATGACCCAATAATCTACATCCCGGAGGAAATAAGGAAGTGTGTCTAGAAATAGTGGAATCATTGATGGCCGTCTTTCAAGATTCAATAGATTTTGGAACAGTTCCCATGGACTGGACAGCACCTAATGTAACCCCACTATTTAATGAAGGAGGTCAAGAGAAAACATGGAATTATAGACAAGTTACTTGACATCAGTAGTGAGTTCATTCTAAAACATTTAATAGCTGTGTACTTGGAAAGGTGGGACAGGATCCTACAGTCAGTATGGGTTTATGAAAGGGAAATCATGTTTGACAAATTTACCGTATTTTTTCATGCTGTAACCCATAGAGTTGGTAAGGGGAACTTGTGGATGTGGTTTACTTAGATTATCAGAAGGCACTCAATTCATCCCACATCAGAGATTAGTGTATAAAATTAAAGCGCATGCTATTGGGGGTAGTGTACTAATATGGATGACACGATGCTGGGTGGAAGGGTAAGCTTTGACGAGGATGTGCAGATGCTTCAGTGTGATTTGGACTAGTTGAGTGCGTGGGAAAATGCACAGCACATGAAGTATAATGTGGATAAATGTCAGGTCATACAATTTAATAGCAAAAAAAGGAAGGCAGGTTATTACTTGAATAGTGATTGATTAGGAAAGGAGAGTGGCAACAAGACATGTGTGTCATGTACACCAGTTGCTGGAAATAAACTTGCAGTGCACTTGCAGTAGCAGTGGAAGGATGTTTTTCAGAATGGAGATCGATAACCAGTGGTGTTCCACAGGGATCAGTCTCAGGTCTTTTGTTGTTTGTTGAAAATACAAATGATGTGGAGGAAAATGTGGGTGCTCTGATTAGTAAGTTTGCAGATGACACGAAGATTGGTGGAGTTGCTGATAGTGCCGACAACTGTGAAATGATACAACAGGATATAGGTTGGTAACTTGGGCACAGAAATGGCAGATGGAGTTTAATCCAGACAAATGCGAAGTGATGCATTTTAGATGATCAAATTTAGGTATGAATTATACTGTAAAATGGCAGAACTCCTAGGAGTACTAACATTCAGATGGATCTGGGCATGCAGGTCCACAGTTCCCTAAAAGTGGCAACACAAGTGGTCAAAGTGATTAAGATGGCATATGGCATGCTTACCCTCATCAGCCAGGGCATGGAGTACTAGAGTTGGCAAAACATGCTGCAGCTATATTAAACCCCTTGTTAGGCCACATTTGGAATATTGTGTACAGTTTTGGTCACCACATTACCAGAAGGAGTGGAAGCTTTGGATAGAGTGCAGAGAATGTTACCCAGTCTTAACGGCATTGGCTACGAGGAAAGGTTAAAAAGACGACAACTGTTTTCACTGGAAAGATGGCGGCTGAAAGGAGACCTGATAGCGGTCTACAAAATTATGAGAGGCATTGATAGGGTGGGTAGTTAGACGCTTTTTCCCAGGGTTGAAATTTCAATTACAAGGGGACACAGGTTCAAGGTGAGAGGGCAAAAGTTTAACGGAAATGTCCGAGGAAAGTTTTGCACGCAGAGAGTGGTCGGAGCCCAGAATGCACTGTCAGAGGAGGTGGTGGAAGCAGGCACGTCGGTGACATTTAAGAGGCATCTGATTGTTACATGAATGGGGAGGGAATAGAGGGATACGGACCTAATAAGGGCAGAAATTTTGTTTTTTGGTTTAGTCAGTGCATGATGATCGGCACAGGCTTGGAGGGCCGAAGGGCCTATTCCTGTGCCATACTTCTCTTTGTCCTTTGTATGCAGCAGGCAGTGAACAGGGCGTATGGTACACTGGCTTTCATAACAAGAGGATTTGATTACACAGAAGGGAAGTCTTGCTGCTATTGTAAAGGGCCTTGGTGAGACCACATTTGGAATGTTGTGTGCAGTTTTGGTCACCTTACGTGTTCTGGCTATAAAGGGAGTACAAGGAAAGTTTACCTGATTCCTGTGATGGCAAGGCTGGCATAACAAGAGAGATTGGATCGGTAAGACTATATTCATTAAAGTTTAGAAGAATAAGAGGGAATCTCATCCTGAAATGGAAATATATTGCCATTCCTGCAGCGTTACTGGGGTAAAATCCTGGAACCTCTGACTGACATTTACCCACAGGAGGTGGTTTGGCAGCTCTTATGTGATCAGATGGGGGTGTATTGACAAAAAAAAAAACAACAAATATCAGGGTTTTTGTCAATTTGCAAAGGGCTCAAGACTTCTATGGGCTGCAATTTGAAGGTTGAGCATTTGTAGGGGTGGGGGATGGAGACTCCTCTTCATTGTCAGCATTAACTGAGCCCAATGTTGGTGTCAAGGGGAATAGGAGGGGGTTTTGGAGGTTGGAAGGATTCCTTACCATGATCCATACCTTTTCCCAGAGCAGGAGGTGGAGCCAGCGTGGCGTGCACAGCCAGAACGGGGCTAGGGAGGATTTATCAGGCAATAGCGATCACAACATTTCTTCCCCTTTCCCTGGCTCTTGATGCTGGCGGGCTGTAATCGTTGGAGTTCAGAGAGCCAATCAGGGACGGGGCTTGGGGGGAGGCAGGGTGAGATAGAAAGGTGGACAGTAGACAGGGTGATGAATAATGTGTACATAGGAGGTACGGTTAGTAAATTTGCAGAGGACACCAAGATTGCAGGTGTACTGGACAGTGAAGGAAATCATCTCAAAGTACAACAAGACCTTGATCAGATGGGCTGGTGGGCTGAGGATTGGCAGATGGAGTTTAATTTAGATAAATGTGGGGTGCTGCATTTTGGAAAGGCAAATCAGGGCAGGACTTATACACACTTCATGGTAAGGTCCTGGGGGTGTGGCCGAACAAAAAGAACACGTGGTGCAGGTTCTTAGCTCCTCGGAAGTGGAGTCACAGGTGGACAGGGTCGTGAAGAAGGCATTTGGTATGCTTGCTTTCATTGGTCAGTGTGTTGAGTAAAGGAGTTGGGACGTCATTTTGTGGCTGTATTTGTTAGTCCACTTTTGGAATACTGTATTCAGTTCTGGTCTCCCTGCTCTAGGAAGGATGTTATGAAATTTGAAAGGGTGCAGAAAAGATTTACAAGGATGTTGGAGGCTTTGAGCTATAGGGAGAGACTGGGGCTATTTTCCCTGGAGCATTAGAGGCTGAGGGGTGACCTTATAGTGGTGTACAAAATCATGAGGGGCACTGATACAGTGAATAGTCATGGTTTTCTCCCCCACGGTACAGGAGTCCAAAACTAGAGGGCATAGGTTTACGGTAAGAGGGGAAAGATGTGAAAGGGATCTAAAGGGTAATTTTCTCACACAGAGGGTGGTGCATTAATGGACTGAGCTGCTAGAGGAAGTGGTGAAGGCTGGTATAATGACAATATTTAAAAGGCATCTGGATGGGTATATGAATAGGGAGGGTTTAGAGGGATACGAACCAAATGCTGGCAAATGGGACTAGATTAATTTAGGATATCTAGTTGACATGGATGAGTTGGACTGAAGAGTCTGTTTCTGTGCTGTACATCTCTATGACTATTACCTATTGTATGAATTGCAGTGGTTCAAGAAGGCAACTCGCTACCACCTTCTCAAGAGCAACCAAAAATAGGCAATAAATGCTGGTTCAATTTCCCACATCCCATGAATAAATAAGAAACCTGATTAATGAGGTGGCATTAAAAACTCCTTAATTCTGTAATAAATATTTTGAAGTCGTACTTCAGGAGATTAATTGGAAGCAAATGGCATTTTCTGCACTAAAAAGCATCCTTTTGCAAAATCCACCACAATGCATGTCATATGGATCAAGGTTGTCATGTGAGTGAACATAATCTCCCAGGCACTGTGTAGCTGGGAACAGAAGGAAAAAAATTCAGCAGCTTTAGAGAAATTATCTGGGTATCTTTGCATACTGGTTTCAAACAAGGCATGGATTCATTGCTGATATTTAGATCCTACACCTTCATTGAAGATAACCTAAAAATGATGCAAGAGCTTTTTCTGATAAAATTCTTCATTCAGCAGAAAAAACATGTACAATTTGCCAATGACAATAATCAAGATAGACTTGCATTTGTGTTGTGCCTTTCACAACCTTCCAAAGTACTTTACAGCTAATGAAGCACTTTTTAAGTGCAGTAATTGCTGTAATTTAGGAAATAATACAATGCACATTGCATTACCCTCACCAGCAATAAATACCAGCAGGACAAGAATTCTCCAAGCTCTGCCACACAATCAAAGTGGGACATTTGTCAGGACATGAGGAACTTGCTTGTTACTAAACCAAGAGCTAAGTTCATAAAGAAAATTCTTACCTAATCCTTCACTCTCTTCAAATGTCTTCTTTACAGTCTGACAGGAAGAGCCATTCCCATGACATACCCCACATCGATCTTCAACTGCATTGGATTCTATTTCATAATCACAGCCTACAGTCTGGAAGAAATACAAACAATTAATGTTGTTTTATTTCCCAATATTACAACCCACTGATCTGCGACATCTTGAGGTGACGCAGGATACTTTATAAATTCAAACCTTTTCTTCAAAATATTAAGCACTAAAACTTTAAGACTTGTTTGAAATTATGAATCCTGTCCTTTCATCTTAGAACTAGGCTTCAAGTTTATAAAAGGTTTAAACTGCCCACCTTCCACCTTGTGAGATTAAATTCTAGTCTGGAAGATCCCAGGTCCAACCACTCTGCCCCATTGCTAAGTGAAGACATAAGTGGTCAATATAATTATTATTTAGGGATTGCTTAAGATCCAATCTGACCGTTAATGAGAATAAGATAATTCCTATTAATGTACTTGAAATAACAATTGGGAAAACTGTAACAGTTATGTCAACTTTAGATGCAACAAAGAAGACCTGGCCTACTTGACCACTAAACTAGCCTAGGGCAGCTGCTGCTTGTCTGGGGAGGCCTGGTCCCTTGATCTGCACTATTTTATTGAGCATAAGTAGGGGAATAGCTAATGAGCACCACACACCATGGTTAAAAATCCCTGCTCCCCTCTTCCCATGACCCCAATCCCAGAAACCCCACCCCACAAACAGCACCTTGTTCCTTGATCTACTGGGTGGAGGAAAGGCAGATCTTTCATTAAAAAATGAACTTGGGTTTCTCACCATCTTTTCAAAAAGTGAGCAAGACACCTAAAAGCACCAAAAGATCCCACCTAAAGCTATCAGGATTAGCAAACCCCCTTTTGTTATTTTAGGTGCTCAGAGATTTGATTGAAAGAAAAAAAGAGATTAAGCTGTGTCTATCTGAATAGACTCTATCAGTTAGATTAGGTTTGGTGGATCAGAGGACATGCAGGTCCATTTCAGAAGCAGAGAATCAGGTTACAAGTCAGAAATCATTTTTGCTTTGAGATGAGTCATAAACACTGGATGAACAGTCAGTCTGTTCAGTGAATAAGGATGTCCTGCTCATGCTGAAATGCAATTTGGCTGAATTTATGGTAATGATCAACATTGCTGCTTGGCCCACGCCTCCTCCACTCCCAACTTATCCCCACAGTCTCACAGTACCTTCCCATGGAACCCCTGAAGGTGCAACTCCTGTCTGTTTACTTCCTCCCTCCTTACTAGCCAAGACCACAGACACATCTTCCAAATGAAGCAGAGATTCACCTGCACTTAATTCAATCTAGTCTACAGTATTTGCTGCTCACAATCTGATCTCCTCTACACTGGGGAGAAAAACCACAGACTGACTGTTTTGCAGGACACCTACGCTCTCTTCACAAAAATGAGCCTGAGCTTCCTGTTGCCTAAGTTTTGGATGGGCGTGTCTGATCCCTAAGCTATGGTGGGACGATCTTCTGATAAGAGGGAGCTTTGATAACTGGTGAAGGGAAGCAGTGGTATGTCAATATTATCTTCTTCCTAAAGATGGCTTCATCTCACTTCAGCTGCTCGAATTCCCTAGGTCTGGAAATCTGGCTGTTCACTGTAAAATCGAAAAAGCAGGCTAAACAAATGGCCTTGAGCTTCTGGTTGCCTGCCACTTCAGCACATGGTGTTCCCTGGTCAAAATCACTGCCTCGGGCTTGCTGCATTGCTCCAGTGAAGCTCAGCACAAGATGGAAGAACGACACCTCATTTTCCCCTTGGGAATCCTGCAACCTTCAAGAGTCAATATGGAATTCAATAATTTTAGGGCCTGAGCGCCTTCTTAAATGTTCTTAACCCAACTCCCAGACACCAGACCTTGTCATTGCATGGGCTGCTACCATAACTAACCTATTGTCAGCCTCTAACAGTGCCTGTTAGCAGCACTTCATTCTCCCAGGCCGACCTTTACCCATTCCTTTGTCCGCCCAACTGTTTTTCTCTCTTTTTGGGCTTCATTTCCGCCTGTTATTTTTATTTCCCTTACCACCTCCATCCCACTCCCCTCACCCTATCTTCAGCATATGTACCACCATTTTCCTAGCTACAATCAGTTTTGAAGAAGGGTCACTGGACACAAAACACTAGTTGGAGGAACACAGCAGGTTAGGCAGCATCAGAGGTGCAGGGAAGTCGATATTTCGGGTTCATGCCCTTCATCGGGATTGTGGAGGAGGAAGGGAGCTCGGAAATAAATAGAGGGAAGGGGTGGGGCTGGAGGAAGGGAGGTGGGATGGTGATATCTGGATGCAGGTAGGGAGTAGTGGAGGTAGGTCATGGGAAGGGTGGGGCGGGTAGGTGGGAAAGAAGATGGACAGGTTGTGTCAGGTCAAGGAGGTGGGGATGAGAGCGAGGGTTGGATATAGCATGAGGTCGGGGATGGGGAGATTTTGAAATGTGTGAATTCTATATTGAGGCCATTGGGCTGTAAGCTGCCAAGGTGGAACATAAGCTGTTGTTTGTCCAGTTTACGTGTGGCATTATTGCGATACTGGAGGAGGCCCAGGCTGGACATGTCACCAAGGGAGTGGGAAGGGGAGTTAAAAAGCCGGAAGGTGTTGTTGATTGTAGCGTACGGAGAGCAGATGCTCCGCAAATCGGTCACCGAGTCTGTGTTTGATCTCTCCAATGTAGGGGAGACCAAATTAGGAGCAACGGATACAGTAGACCAGGTTGGAGGATGTACAGGTGAACCCCTGTCGGATTTAGAAGGATTGTCTGGGGCCTTGGACGGAGGTGAGGGGGAGGTGTAGGGACAGATGTAGCACCTCCTGCGGTTGCAGGGAAAGGTGCTGGGGGTGGTGTTGTTAGTGGGGAGTGTAGAGCAGATGAGGGAGTCGCGGAGTGAGCGATCCCTATGAAAGGCAAACAGGGGTGGGGAGGGAAATATCTCTTTGGTCGTGGGGTTGGACTGCAGGTGGCGGAAGTGGTGGAGAATGATACGCTGCATGTAGAGGTTGGTGGGGAAGTATGTGAGGACCAGGGGAACTCTGTCCTTATTTTGTTGGGAGGAAGGAGTTTGAGGGCAGAAGTGTGGGAAATGCAAGAGGTGTGGTTGAGGGCATTTGTGATCACTAGAGGGGGAAGTTGCGGTCCTTGAAATTTCAAAGTTGGGTAGAATTGCTAACAATAATACATTCTTGCCCAATGAGCTCAATGCATTCTATGCTCGTTTTGAACAGAAGAAAAGTGGAATGATGTCACCTGCCCCAACAGTCTCGGATGCACCTGTACCCTTTGTCACTGTCGCAAACATTTGATCTGCCTTCTTGAGGGTGAACCCATTTAAAGCGACTGGCCTGAATGCAGACCACAGCCATGCACTCAGATCCTGTGCAGACCAGCTGACGGGAGTGTTGCAGACACCTTTAACCTCTCCTTACTCCAATGTGAGGTTCCCACCTGCTTCAAGAAAACCACTCTCATCCTGGTGCCAAAGAAAAATCAGGCAATGTGCCATGATGACTGTGACATCCATCATTGTGGACTGTTTTGAATGCTTCCCAGATTGCCTTGATCCACTGTAATTTGCCTACCATCATAATAGGTCCACAGCAGGTACCATCTCCCTGGCCCTACACTTCATTGAGCATCTGGATAACAAGGACACCTATGTCAGACTTCTACTTATTGACTTTAGCTCTGCCTTTAACATGAAAATTCCAATCAAACTCATCTCCAAACTCTGAGGCTCAAGACTCTGCTCCCACTTCTGTGACTGGATCCTCAACTTCCTGACCCACAGACTACAACCAGTCAGGACAGGTGACTACACCTCCTCCACAATAAACCTCAACACCGGTGCCCCATAAGGCTGTTTACTCAACCCCCTACTATACTCCTTATGTATTCACAACTGTGTGGACAAATTCAATTCTAACTCCATCTACAAATTTGATGATGACACCACTGTAGTGGATCCGATCTTAAACAATGACAAGACAGAGTACAGGAAGGAGATAGACAGCTTAGCAGCATGGTATAAAGACAACAATCTCTCTCTCAAAGTCAGCAAAATGAAGGAGCTGGTCATCGACTTCAGGAAGTGGAGTGGAAGACAGCCCCCTTTCTGTACCAATGGTCCTAAGGTGGAGATGGTTGAGAGCTTCAAGTTCCTCAGAGTGAATATCACCAACAATCTATCCTGGTCCATCCATGTTGACGTTACAGTCAAGTACGCACATCAACGCCTTTATTTCCTCAGAAGGCTAAGGGAATTCAGCATGTCCACAATGACTCTTATCAATTTATATAGATGCACCATAGAAAAGCATCCTATCCGGATGCATCACAGCTTGGTTTGGCAACTCCTCTGTCCAAGACCACAAGAAATTACAGAGAGTTGTGAACGTAGGCCAGTCCATCATGAAAATCATCCTTTCTTCCATCAACTCCGTCTCTACTTCCCACCTGCCTCGGGAATTCGGACAAGATAATCCCTCCCACCCCAATTATACTCCCTTCCACCCTCTTCCATCAGGCAGAAGATACAAAAGTTTGAAAGCATTTATCAACAGATTCAAGAACAGCTTCTTCTCCGCTGTTATCAGACTTATGAACGGACCTCTCATATATTGGAGTTGTTCTTTCTTTGTACCTTCTCTGTAGCTGTAATACTAATTACTCTGATGTACTCATGTAAGGTATGATTTGTCTGGTTAACACACAAAACAATACTTTTCTCTGTATCTTGATACATGTGACAATAATAATCAAACAAAATCAAATCAAAGTATGTGTCCCTGTGCTGTTTGCTGAGGTTTTACCACCATTTTTACAATCAAAGTGGTAGATTCCTACTTCCTGTCGCCTAGTTGGAGTTTTCCCATTACTTCATAGGAAAATGAATGCTTTCCATCTTTCATGGCCCTGAACAAGATGGATCCTGTTCTAGATAATCACCTGTGGCTGTGGCCTTAATTTAACTTCTTGCCGATTCTGAATTTTGAATTCTGTTTCTCTTGAATATAATACTAACTGGAGCCAGATATGATATATCTGACCTGATTAGGATCTGGAACTGGATTTCT